TGTTATGGATTTATCCCAATTTTTTTTCAAAGAGCCATCCATAATTCATCTTTTTAGTGGAAATTTTAAGTATATGTCAAATGTCAAAAGTCTTCTAGTCAATAAAAAGAAGAATGTCCCGTATTGCTTATTCTCTGTATCTTACCCAGTATGACATTGATGACGATAAAGACGTCGACTGGGGACTAGACAAACAACAGCTTGACTTTCAATTTTATTTGGTATTACTCTTACTGAAGATCTTAACGAAACACGTCTTACTCTTACACTGTTAAAAAGGTTTCGAGGATAGCTTTAGTGGTTGCTCTTTGTTAGCTATTTTTCCCTGATGCTGTCCAGGGCTACCTTAATTTAATTCTTCAATAATGACACAAAGCAATAGCAAGAAATAAAAAATAGCAGGTCCAGTTGTACGTTGTGAAAACATTTTGGCTAAATTTTTTTTATTTTTTTCTTTTTCATGCACCAAAACTCTACTTAACTATAAGAGTGCAAGTTAACATTGCACAAAAAAATATCAAAAGAACACCCTATGAAGATTGTAACGGCCGACACAAGCGAAGCAAAATTTCGACGATAACTATGACTTTCGCAAATGAAGACACACTATGAAGCGAGGATATATATTAAAATTTTACGGACAAGCCTTGAATCGTTTTATTTAACGTAGTCGAGGTATCCAAGTACTTATCGTAAACTGAAATATGAATTTATAAGGAAGAAGCTAAGCTAAATTCGAATAGACGAACCAACATTCCAAACATTCCAATATAGAGGCAAGATGCAAAGCTAGCTAAAACTCAAACAAACTCACGAAAGAACTATATATATAGACAAGCACAAAGAAAGGAACATTAGCACTTACATAACAGTCCCGCTTGTAAAAATTTAACCAAAACGAGCTTCAATATAAGGTAGGCAAAAGGCGCTCTTCAGACAAACACGTCTTATCGTTAGCCCACAGCAAGACAACTGACCAAAATGCGGTTCTGAGTGGAACTTAAAGATCACGTCTCTAATGGACTAACAGTAGCGTCATTATTGTGGTTTAACACGTTTAACGCGAAGCAAGCTTATAGCGAATCAGTGTTCGGTGGCAAAGGCGTGGCAGCCGTTACAAAGATAAACCACGCAACAAATATTTTTAGACTTGCTTGCATTATACTAGTAGTGCAGAACACTGCTCAGCAATATCAACATTTTTGTCTCGCAAATTCACCTGCGGATGATTACTCGAGAATTTCCTACTAGCTATTCATTAATAAGTTTAGTTAAGGAAAGTTTTAGAAAAGTCACCAAATTGAAAGGGATACCAATATTATCAAGTTTTTGGGTATCCCCTCCTTAGCATGGTTTGGTAATTACAACATTAAATTCCTTTTCCTCAGTTTTTATTTCAGTGTGATCTTCTTTGTAGTTATAATTTGTTTTTAGATTTTGCTCATTTATGGTTTTTTTGTGGGAGTCATTCCTTGAAATATAAAGTCGCTCAGAATTTAAAACCACTCGACCAAAGGGATATTAATTGCTTTTTGACCCTGAGCAATACTTAAGGTAATATAGGTATCCCTTCCGATATGGCAAAGGATTTACATGAATTGATAAAAAAATTACAGATTTCCACTTCGTGCACAACCCATTTTTTCTTATTTTTTTCTTTTTCAAATTTCGCTGTTGGCCTTGCTGGTGAGAAAGGAATTATTATTCTACCCTCCAAGCTGATAAGGGTATCCCTTGTCAGCCAATTCCTCGATATCCCCTTGATGAATGACAACTTTCTTATATTTACTCGGGCTTTCCAAGGGAAACGCCAGAGTTTAAATTCCGGCTCTCTTTTTTTCGTTTAGTTGCAAAGCGCAATCAAGTCCTTAACACGTATGTGCGACGTTCTGACTGCATGTGCGATGTTTTGACTGTTGAGCTCATGGCATGGTGTAATGGTGGAAGAATAGGAGTTTCTGCGGTGCAAAATCAGCAGATACTGTGTATACTGAATACGCTCAAAACGCCTACGAAATATGCACACGGTGTTCGCGGTAGACCCACGCTAGAAGATGTCGAGCGTTTTCGGAACGGGTCATTCCGCGAACCTTATTAGAGATCTCTTTCTGAGCGAACATGTATGAGTGAACCTTCATCGAGAAACTTGCTATATGAACTGAGCCATCTAGTGTTAATCAAGAGAAGCATAGACGCAAGTTACATCCTATACAGACAAATGCAGGCACAAAAAACAAAGTTTCTTTCCTTCAGAAAGTCCGCGAGAACGCAAATATGCGTCCAGTTATTCTAGCAAAGCCATTTCCTTCTTGTAACTCTCTTAATTCTAACACAAACTCCAAATTTTTCTCATTGTTAGCGATAAATATTTTCAAATATAATTGTACATGCATCGAGGTCGAGCAAAAACCAATTCACTGAAGGAGAATATATCTTGTGTACCGTACGTGTTTGAGTAAATAGAAATAGGGCCCCATAGCCCTAAATATAACCTTGACAGCGTCAAATCGATTTGGAGGGTCATGTTATGTTTCATAGCGTTTATGCTACCTAAAAATCATTTTTAAAAGCGATAACAAACTTCAATAACGCAGACGGTATAAGCTCAGAAAAATTATGGAAGGTTTAAAATGGAGGAGATTTCAATACATGGAGTACGAAACTTTCAACATGGAACTCCTGACTTTAAAATTAATCCGGGACAACATTGGTCTTGTTTTCTTCATTTCACCCTAGCTTTAGCCCCTATGAATGACTATGAGTGTATCTTTCCGTAGGTTATTTACCTGAAGAAAAGTCCCAACAAAATTTGCATGCATGAATCCCCGAAGTCAAATCTGAACCACTCGATCGATTAAGGAGAAGAAATACTCGCCGACGTGGACACAATTGACGACATCCAAGGAAAGAGGGTTGAAGTTATGAGTTTTCCTGACTACATAGATGCTGGAGAAGACGCTGTTATTTCTTGTAGTTGGAAATCTCTTTCCACAAGAAAGATTGAGTGCAATTTTGACGATTGATTTTTTTTTAATTATTTGCAATTCAAATGAGCTTTTCGACTTGAAAGGGGAGGTTAAAATAACGTGGTCAATTCCGTTCAGTGCTAGAGAAAACTAGTATGATTTTTAAAGGCTGATTTTGCAATTCGAGAAGTTATAAATAGTGTTATATGTTATTTGCCCTCCCTGTGAAACAATTCTGAAACTTTCTTTCAAAAGTTGTTCAGTTGAAAAATAAAGCTATTCGCACAATCAATTGTTACGACGTGGTGGAGGGAAAGCTGGTCGAGGGTACCACGCTTTGCAGAAATATAACAATAGTCTAAACCTGCTGTTTCAGTTCCTCTTTATTGGTTGAGTTCTAAGAAAAACCAACAACCATTGCTATAATTTTTCTAACTTTAACAAACAGATGATTCATTTCTCTCTTTTCTTCCCTCTTTCAACACTCTGTCTTCTAACGCTTTATACACGCTTTTTTGTACATTATCGGTGCGCATGAGTTGTCCAACTGACCCTGCAGGATTAGACTTCTTAACCAAAGACAAATCCAAATGACGGTTTTATGAATGAGGAACAATGTACTTGACACTTCCGAACACCAATCTTATGAGGAATGTCAGTAGGGCCTCCGAATGGTACGCTAACAATCTGCTAAAAGGAAACCTGAGCAAATATCAAACTATGACTTTAAAGCAAAACAGGACAGAAAATAACACTCCATTACACTTTCAAGGAAACACCGTCGAATCTTCTGACTGTCTTAAGTTGCTAGGAGTCACCATAGATGAACAGTTGAATTTTAACACTCACATTAATAAAAATATGTAAGAAGGCGAGTCAAAGGGTAGGCGTACTGTTGAGGCTTAAAAACCTTATCCCTACCAAATGCTAAATTAACTCTGTATAAATCAGCTATATTGCCTTACTTAAACTGTTGCCACCTGACTTGGCTTTTCTGTAGTGCTACCGACAAAAGAAAGCTCGAACGGGTCTAAGAAAGAGCACTACGCGCAGTTTTCCTAGATAAGCAATCTAGCTACCAAGCATTGCTGGATAAAAGTGATCTAACGACGCTCCAGAACAGAAGACTGCGAGATATCGCTATCCTTATGTATAGGGTGAAACACAAACTATGCCCCATCAAAATATGCGAGCTATTTCATACGCATTGCTCACCCTACAACTTAAGAACGGTAGAGTCCGCCATTCCCAGATTTAGGACCAATAAATATGGTAAACATTCGCTCACCTACCTGGGACCAAAGTTGTGGAATAAGCTACCAAGCGAAATCAGAACCCTCCCATCATTATTTAGTTTTAAAAATCATATTCGTAAATCTGATTTAGTTGTAATCGTAGAAGACGACAACTGTTCAATTGCATCCTTTGTAATTCTTAATCTTTTAAGTTTTCCCATTAGTTGTTAGTTAATAGGTTTTTAACTATGTTATATTGTTAAGCCTTTTTTTTAATAGTTTCATTAGAAAATAGTTGATAGGTTATTAATTTTGTCCCCAATTAGTAGAGGGGTTCTTAACCCCATCGCCTACATATTTCAAGACTCCACATTAATAAAGTTTATGTATTTATGGATGTATGTATGTATGTATGTATAATCAATCAGCGTACTAAGCCAAGCCAATGCAAGGTCATAATTTTTTGGAGCCGTGGCAAAATTCTAAAAAACAACTAAGGGATTGAAACTGCATATGTGATCTTGCAGGACAGTGAATCATAAGACTCACAAAAGGACTTCGAAATCATCGGAGAAATAAACCACGAGGGGTCAGACCAGATAAACAGATAGTTCAAAGTAAACGTAAGACAGTAATTAAACCTGAGAAAAGAGTATGCATTGAGATCTGAAATTCAGCTGAATTAAAACTAACCATAGAAAAAAAGATCATAATTCAGAAGCAATATTGATTTTAACCCAAAAACAACTTATCGACTTTTTTAACAGTTTTTATTACTTTTTTTTTTTAGATAGCTGGCAGCGCCTGTGGACAATATGAAGCGAATCCTGTGTTCTGATTGGCTACCCATGCGGGCAAGATGGTCCCATCTTGCGCAAGAAAAATAAGCGCGCGAAGCGTATAAAGTCTGTTACTTTTGTCGCAAAAAGCGGCAGGAGACAGTCAAAACAAAGAAAACATAAATGATCCTTGTGGGTTTACTGAGCTACAAACACAGTTGGTTTTCTTTCCCGCCTCTTTAAATAAACAAGTCATGATTGATTCTTATTAAAGCGAAAATATTTTTGCTTTTTTAAAATATCCTTTATTAACCAAACTTGTTCGGTTGAGATGGCTGGATGTTAGCCTCGATTTTTATAAGCGTTTTTTATGGATATTGACTTCTTCTCGGTCCATTAAACGCACCCGATATCCAGCCATCATGCTTGGTCAACATTCCATATTTATTACATAGCTGACTGCGCCCGTGAGCAGGATGAAGCGAATCCTGTGTTCTGATTGGCTACCCGAGCAGGCAAGATGGGCCCATCACATTGAAATACAGAAAAAGGAAAGGTTTTTAAGATTTTCCTTTGCCTCCAAGATATTCCTACTTCTAAATGATCACCAGCTGAGTGTAAAAGAATACCATGAAAATAATTCAATACTACAAATTCTCGTCATCAACATTCCATTCTCAATTGCCCTAGAAATTAGCTGGTTGCGATTTCAAACCCTCTGTCTCCTATTGAAAGGAACCGACGTTGATGACAAAAAGCATAGCATTATTATGATGACGAAACAGCGGAATTGCCTTTCCAGGACTCTCCTGTGAAATCTTCCTTCATCTTTCTAACTTTTTCATACATTTCTCCCAGCACCTCGTAATTTCCAATCCCCTCTATACATTCTAAAATACTTTTTTCAATAACCTCCTTTAATGCAGCTACCTCCGTCATCAGGCTGCGCATCGTTATCAAAGGCTCGTTCCTTCCCGTATTCCGCTGTCTCCTTGGAAGTTCATCTACATTGTAAAAAGCCAAGAAGACCAATATCGTAAGGTGCACTTAATTACTCATTATTGCGAAAGTGATCTAAAAGAAATACAAGCAAATTCTTCTTAGTCAATTAAAACTCAATGAGAAACCTGGAATATATTAAAACTTTTGAGACGTTCACCAAAGATATCCTTAGCTGGGGCGACCGAAAACAAAGAAAGATACAGTAGGCTTAAAAACATTCAACTCGACAGAACCCTTTTTTTTTTTTTACCCTAAAGATACTCTTAGTTGAGTCAATCAGCACAGCATGATACTTCTTCAACTCACATCTACGAGTGGTTTCGACCACCAAATGATATCTAAAATTACAGTGATAACTGTTTAATGGGGAAGTGATCTTTTTTGAAGCTCATCAATTGACCATCTAAGATTCATACGCCGTGATTTTGACCATCTAAGATTCATATGCCGAGATTTTGACATTTTGACTGAAAAAAAAAAAAATACCAGGCAGATCTGGTTGACGTGTCCGGCAAACGGTCGAGTTTTAAAGAACACTGGTGATTGACATTAGAGAGCTCACGAAGAATAAACATGTCCCATTCAACAGTCTATAATGTTTGCATGGTTTTGAAGGATACTCAGAGCTGAAACTTACCCACTTTAGATTCGAGTTTCGTCACAACTTTTCTCATGTCTCTTACTTTTTCGATACTTTCTCTTAACTCATCCAACTTCCCCTGTTCACTTCCTGTTTCAGCTCTCCTTTCTCTTTGTTCTACGTTTCGTTTTCTCGGTGCATTTGCTGGCTCCACGGCACTACTGGGCATCGTCTCGGGGAAACCTCTCTCGCTGTCTTGGCGTTGCCCAGTCTCGCCCTCTTTGTCGCATAATTACCAAAGAAATAACAAATACAACGTTGTTAGTTTCCCATCCTTCGAAAAATCGTGCATTTTTACGCAAGAACAATAAGAGGATATTTGGGGTCACCCATCAATTCCACGACAGACATAAAAAACGGAATAGAAGCAAATCAAACGGTCTCGTTAGTAGCAAAATTGCTGAGCACTTCAGAACAAACACATTTATCAATTATAACAAGGTTTCTACAGTCAATAAAAGCCTATATTTTAATCATGAGTTTTTTTGGTTACGTCCTGCATGTTTTCTATTTTCCACTCAAAACCATATTGTACTTTTATTGATTGTCTAAATTCAAAACTTATTAAAGACAATAATTTTGTGAAGATTGCGCAAAAAGAAAGTCTGCGAGAAGCACTGAGAGATTTGAGATGTAAAGATCCGACAGAGTTGGTTACTCACGGGGATTTTTTAGTGAGAATGACGAAGTAAGGAACTCAACTCAAAACAGAAGGAGATAAAAACACGGATTAAAACACATTTTAATTCATTAAAATTATCACAACAAGGACCTCTACAAGCCTGATATT